TTTCCAACCTAGTGATTCTGTGATTCATGGTTGAGAGCTAGGCATAGTTACTGTTAATGTATAATGTCCAAATTCACAGCCTGTTCCCTTGAGGAATGATGCATATGTGGGAAACTCAACTTCAAGCCTTTCCACTTATGGATGCTAATGTAAGATACTTCCTCCTTTGATTATTTACTTGGGAATCTTAATGTACAAACATTAAAATGATTCAGGCTGAAAAGTTCAGAATTTTCTGATTCCGGTTAACATCAGTATCATTTGATTGCCTGAGGATTTTTTTTTTTAAGGGGGAAAAATAACTTTTGAAAAGCTACTACATTATATTTGGAACAGCTCAATTCAGTAGGCCTTAAGAAAGAAGCTGTAAAAAGTCTGGGTGTTGTCGAAGGTAATGAAATACTAGTGCAAGTTACAGCCAAACCTAACCCAGGCCACTTCTCACAATTTTCCTATTACTTATTCACATTGTGCATTCTCACACTGTGCCATTGTTGACCATCGCTAAACTCAAGTACTACAACAACAGTACAACCTGTATGACAACCTGTTCAATGATGCAGAAAGAAATAAAATAAAAATTCATTCAGACTGGGAAATTCATACAATATAATACTAAATAATGATATTCCAAGGGAAACTTCATGAAAGTGTCCTGCCTGCCGATAAGCAGTCCTGTCTGTAGTGTTTCATATGTAAGACAAATATGAATAGGTGGAATGTAGTCACAAGAATATGCCTTACACTAGAAGTGAGTGCTATTGGGTCAGAATAAAGTAAGAAATTAACTTGCTACAGTAATATTTTCAGAATAAATTTCAAGAGGTTTTGATTCATTTTACCACCTGAATATATTATTGAACAGTATTTGAATGAGAAACTATTCTTAACGTTTTTGACCTTTTTTTTTTCTTTCTTGCTCTAGGACAAAGTTTTCTATAAATTTTCATTTCTTTAATAGATCACATTTGGGGCTAGAAAATTTTCTTATAACTTGGGTTTATAAGATGGTATTAGCAGCTCTTAGCTGTGCTAGACTGTTGTTGGACAAGCCATTTGATTGTTCAAGAAGCATTCCTAGCTTTGGTGAAATGACAGCATGCTAGATTTATTTTTGAGTTCTCTATGGTATCTGGAGCATAGCACAGTTTGGAGACTGTCCTGGTTTCATCTGAGACCTTTGAGACTGGCATGATTCTAATAATTTCTTTCAAGATATGAATGTGAATTTTGTTATGGATGCATCTTTCCATCCTTGTAAACTTGAAAGCCTGTTAGAAAAAAACTTGCAGCTTTTTTTTCCTCTAGTGTAAGTAGTTTGTTTGTTATACAAATATCATGCCTGCAAATCCCAATCGGACAGTAAATGTCACCTGGTGACCATGGAAGAAACTCAGGTGAAACCTTAGGCTTTAATTTCTACAGAGCTGCTGTCTACCATGAAGGGAATAATGAAGCAAAACCAATGACTGTGCCATCAATATGCCTAGTAAACTGTGATCAACTCTCATTCTTTAAAAACATTTCGTGTCGCCTTATGAGAAGTTTTAGATTTGTTAACCTAGTAATTTGTTGTGTTGCCTTTGCATAGGTAAAAAAAAACCTACCAACAAAACCAACAAATGAAATGGTAAAAGAGAAAATTAAAGTCTGTTGAATCTTAACTAGGTAATAGACTCTAGAATTCACGCTTAGTCTCTATGCTTATGTTATTTTTGTCTTTACAGAGCATTAATAGTATAACTGTGCTCTTTTACCTGTTCTGAGCTAAATCTGTAGTCCTGTGAAAGTTCACTGAAGGCAGAAAAGTATAGTTTACTGTGAATAAAGGGTAAAAAAATTGACCCTAAATGAGTTACTCCATCTTGTAAAAGTTTTCTGCATAGAAGTAAAATGTATGTATGAAAGATTGGCCGTGTGTAAATTTGAGAGCAAGGGTAAAATCTTTAATAAATCAGAAAACTTCTACTACATTTCCTCTGCTTTTTCTTTTTTGTTGAAGTAGACTAACATGCTTCAGAAAGGAAAAGGAATTCTTAATTAAAATAGGCTGTAGACTATTTGGAGTAGAGGCCTTGATCTAATGCTGTTTTTCTTTTATAGTAGCTCCACTTATGCTACGTATAAACACACTGTGTAGTGTTTATGCTATTATACAGAAGGCTCAACTTGAGTTTTTGCCTTTTAGTTTTATGTGTAGAAGTGGTGTTAGTTATTGATTGTATTAAAGAGTAAATACTGTTGCATATAATACAAGTAGGAATTTGTAATTTTTTATGGCAAAATATTCCTTGGGAGTGTAATATTCAAATAAAACTGTTACTTTTATGTGCTTAATGGCTCTGGCTATAACCAAGTAAGAATTTTGGAAATAGAGCCTTGATAGACTAGTGTTTAACTGTTGGTATTCCATCTAAGGCCTCAGATAATTCCATATAAACATCTGTCACACAAGTACTATGTGCTTTCATATATGGCAGGTGTATCACATCTGCCAGCATTATTTCTACTTGCTTATGTCTCCTGTCAGCATCTCTTCTCTTTCAGGAACACTGAATTCACTCACATTTTAAGGATAAAAGTAGGACAGATGACATTTTTCATGCAATTATTTATATTTGTTCCTGAATTGTGATCTAGGTTTAGAATTTTTTTGTGTCAATATAATACAGATGATCCAAATCTTTCCAGAAAGAAAAAATCAGTAAATAGAGAGGACAAGATACAGTTACAAGCAAAAATGGTATACATCCTTTTTAAGTTAGTTGTATCACTTCTCTATAGAGAAAAAAAAAATGCTTCAAGCAAATTAATGGGTTTACTTCTAGTGCAAAAAATGTACCCTAAAGTTGAGGCATTTATTTGTGTTGATAGAGTAAGAGGAGAATACCTAAAGGTATTAATTAAAGAAATATAAGGGTAGCATTTGGAGAGAAAAGTTTACAATATCAGCCGATACAACATAAAAGTTTGCTGAAGGAGGGAGAGCAATAGAAGAGGCTAGGTGGCTAATATAACAAAGCAACAAAAATTGTGGAAGGAACTGGGAGCCCAGACCTGGACCTAGCGCTCCCGGTGTGGCCTTACAAGGGCTGAGGTAGAGGGGAAGGATCACTTCCCTCCACCTGCTGGCAACGCTGCTCCTCGTGGAGCGCAGGGTACCATTAGCCTTCTTCACCGTGAGGGTGCATTGCTGGCTTATGCTCAACTTGCAGTCCATCAAGAACCTCAGGTCCTTTCCTGCAAAAGCTTTTAATATACATTGCTTTTTCATTTACATTTATTCCTGATAACCGTGGGAAAAGCAAAGGACAAAAGCTCTGGGATTCACTTCACCTCACTTTGTCTTTAATGTCATCTAATTGTATCATAATTAATGGTAAAGAATTGGCATTTTTGGGTGCAAGTTCTTTGATCTTTTTGACAGCTACTTTAGGCATCAATGTTTGGGGTTTTTTTTGGGGGGGGGGGTTGGTGTGTTAGGGTTTTTTTAATAGAATCTCCTTTTCACCATGGATTATAAAGACAGTTCGTTTCACTTGTATATGGTAACTTTGTAGACGTTGATCAGCATTAGGTCCGATGAATCCAAACCAGTATTTATTAATTTGTTTTTCTGCTTTTTTTTTTGGACAGGTCCATTCCAGAGTAAAAGTATGAATTAGAACAAGGTTCTGATGTATTTCAGCTTTTGGAGAAATAGATCAGCTGTTATCTCCTGTGTTTATATGACAATACACCTCCTGCAGATTGTGTTGCGTATTTTCCTATTGTGTTTTGATATAAAATGCAATTTACTTTTACAGGCTAAATTCCATTGATGTTAAGTATCAGATGTGGAAATTAGGAGTCGTTTTCACTGATAATGTAAGTTATCAGTATATATATATAGACACATATTTACATATATATTCATCTTCTAAAAAGCAACATGCACTTGTTAAACAAAAGTGCTTCAAAGAGAGGTATGAAATACTCTGGATTATATATAATTTACTACATAGATGAAGAAAATTGTGGAAGCTTAAAAAGACATTGCCAAAATCTTTTCCCAGTTACATAGGTATTAGTCTGTAGAACCTCAGTCAATTCCTGGCCCCCTTCTGATATGCTTTATTCAGGGACAGTAAGCAAGTACAGTGCTGTAGAATTAGAAAACTGACTGTATAAATCCTAATTGCCATTTTTCATATTGTTCATAAACTTTATGAACACCTGAATACTCCTGAAGCACAGTTAGATCAATATAGTTAATGTATGTGGAATTGCTAAGATTTGTATCACTGAAACTGGTAGTAGGATGTGACACAGAAGGAGGCTGATGATTTTAATCATTTGAAAAAATGAGTCTTTAAAAACAACAAAAAAGGAATTATAAACCAGACTGTTAAAATACCTTGCAGTTTAAGAAGTCACTCATCATATGATTATTAAGTGTCTTACGATTATCACTTGCCTAACTCAGCTTATTTTACTGGTGGAAAAAATGATTGGCGAACAAACGATTTTGGAACTAGGACTGCCAGAGAATCAAAGTGTGACCTGACTGTAGACAGGAAGAGTGGAATAGTTAAGTCTCCAGGTCTACAGACAGCATGATCTGTAAAGAGTTAAGAATTTGTTCAGGATTAGGTTTTTTCTAAGGGAGGGACTGTGATTTCTCTTATAAATATGTACTTGTCTTTAAGGGCAATAAAAATTAAACGATAGAGGAAAAGAGGAAATTAATGCTTGTAGTAATAGTTAGTAAACTACTTAATATTTACATGTTTAAGTAGAAGTTTTAGTAGTTTGAAATAATTACAAAATGCCTTTTGTTCCTTGCAGAGTCTTTTCATTTCTTATTAACCACCTTAGGGCTTTACAATTTTAATGTAACTAGAAATTCATAAACAAAAAATAATTGAAATCAGATTTTTTTTACATTAGCAACATTAACAAATAAGGGTTTAGCAATTTCAGAATTAGTTTTTACAAATTAAAATTCAGAATATGTAAATTTTGACCATGTCTTGTGAATTCTGTATTTCCTGATTTAATATTTTTGCTCAAAGAGAAAATTCTCAAAGATCTCTAGCAAATTCTACATAAAAAAAGTTATTGTTTTGTATTTTAAGAAAAGCACATTCAAGCAATTTCTACCTTTCCTTAGTGTTTTGAATTAAGTAAAAGATAATAGCCATGAGTTTTATTTTATGACACACTTGTTTTTTTCTGTTAGTCTTTCCTTTACCTAGCGTGGTATATGACCATGTCAGTCCTTGGCCATTACAACAACTTTTTCTTTGCTGCTCATCTTCTTGACATTGCAATGGGATTCAAGACATTACGAACTATCCTATCATCAGTTACCCACAATGGCAAACAGGTACCAACTGTCACCTCTTTTCAGCTTTTTTACTTAAGGAGTACAACAGGAAAGATCACTTCATGACTTAATTCAGCTGCTCTGCAGATTGACAACAGAATGGCTCTTTTATCATGAAGTTTAGAGCCTGGGTCAGGGGAGAAACTAGCCAGTGGGGTTTATAAGCTTAAGAAAATGGGAGTAGGATGTATGACAGTCTCTAGCTGTTAGGAGCAACTGTGTCATAAAGTTGCTGTTTAAATTTTTTTCAAGATTCATCTAAAGAAAGGTCCAGTTGAGACCCAGTTACTCTTCCTGTTAGAGGACTGTTTGAGAAAGTCAGGTCTTTGATAGTAAGAAATCTTTTCTTAAAGAAGCTATAAAATCTGAAATTGCGTTTCTGATTTAAGTCAAGAAAGTAACTAAGGCTTTTCGTCTACTGAGATCTATTGTAGGAATGGCACTTGAGGAACTCTAAGTTTCAGGTTACATTAAGTCTAATGGCCTTCCTAGTTCAAAGGACCATTGTAAACAATTTTTAATGATAAAAAAGCCATCCTTGGTCTGCTTAGAAGATCTTCCAGCAAGGCAACTAATATAATTGTTATTCAAGTGGCATGGGAATGGTAACAAAAAGGTCTTCTCTGTTGTGTATACTTACATGCTATTGTGGTAACATAGAACTTGAGTTCTGACTTTATACAATGTAGGTGCTTTAGAAGTCTGGTCACAAGTGCCATTTCAAAATTTATCACGAGCAAGTTGTTTTTCAGGTCTTTTGTTTTAAGCAGGTTTGATACTAGAAAAACATAACATCCTTAGCAATGATTTTTTTTAAATGCAAAGGGTGATTGATTTAATTTAACTCTGCCTTCAAATGCACTGTCCTTGTCAACATTTTTTAAGAAGTAATACACATTTAAATGCTCACAATTTATATTTCAAAATAGCTGGTGAAGCACATGACGTATTGAAGACTCTTAAGTATGAACTCACCCTGACAAACTGCTATTTGTTTTAATTTATGTGGCAAACTTAAGTTTCATTTGTGGAACAAAAATTGTGTTTTGAAAAGTTACAGAAATCAACATACTGCATTCCTTGCTCTTTAAAGAGCAGAATTTCTTAAATTCTTAATTCTGATTTCTTAAAAGAACAAAAAAGAAAAAAAATCAGTCAGCACCTGAAAAAAAGTGAAGTATTCTACCTTTTAAAAATAGTCCTGAAGTTTTAGCAAATTTTCTATGAAGTAAGTGGGCATTATTTATGATAAGAAACTTTTTAGGTCTGGCAGCTATGCAAGTGAAATATCAATTTGCAGGATACTGCGGTTCACTTCCAGCTGCTTTCCATAAAGCTCAAGGCAAAATTTTAATGATGCTGCAGTTGAGCAGTGGGGTATTTATTGCTGCTTCTCTGAGGTAGATATTAAAATACTACGAACAGTTTGTTTCATATGTGATTTCATAGATATAAACAAAAATGTTTCAGTAGTAAATTACTAGGAATACTATATTGCAATATGTAATAGGTGATATTGAATAGTAATACTATCACTATTAGGTAGTAAACTTCCAGATGTTTTTGTCTGATTGTGGGGGTTTTATATGATTCTAATGGATTGTTTGATTGTATATGTATACACAAGATTTTGGAAGATTTGCCTTTGTAATTGTGTTTCAAAAGCACAGTTTTCCTTCAAAATAAAACATGTGCAATGCACAATCTTTGCATGAAAATATGCAGGTCTATTACCAAATATTACAGAGATACAGAGAAAAAGTAAATAGAGTTTTCCTTCTGCTAGTACATATAGATTATTGTTACTTTCCTTCTCTTTTTGCAAAGGAATTTGTATAGCGTAATTCCATGGGGGTGTTATATCCACTCTGTAATTTTGTCTTTCAGCTTGTCCTAACGGTGGGGTTACTGGCAGTAGTAGTATACTTGTATACAGTAGTGGCATTCAATTTTTTCCGCAAGTTCTACAACAAGAGTGAAGATGGTGATATGCCAGACATGAAATGTGATGATATGCTAACAGTAAGTCTTACTTTGCTTTTGGGATTCTCTTCTTAAACTGTTATGTTTTTGTCCTGACCTTCTTGTAATTCCTATTCAATACAGTCGTATCATTCACCAGCAACAGGAAAGATTAGAACTCAAGGCAGAGGACCAAATATAATGAACATCCCTAACAACTAGATATACCCTGTGTGTATTAAACAAACACATCTATACATTAATAGAAGAAATGTATTCTTTGCTATAGTTTCTCAAAAAGTGAAAAACAGCTACAAGCTGTGAAGCTGAGCCGGGTCCGTTAAAGGGCAGTAATTCTGAATCTTGAGGTTGTACAGGCCATTCAGGAGGAGGGTAAGTTGTAGGCAAGGACTTTCATAAGTAATTTAGGTACTGAAATGCTTGTTTAAGCTTGGCAATCCGTCAGTTTCCCTTAGCATGAATTGCCATGATTATCTTCAACTGGCAGTTCTGTTACTGAAATATCTACTGTGCTCAGAGCCACTGAGAATTATTTTGTACTTACTGAGACAGTGCCAAGCTTTGCATTTGTGGATGGTAGGTGGAGCTTAAATCATGATGAATTTGTAAGGTGCGTTGCTGTTAATACCCTTCTAAAAGCAATCATGTACAACAAAAGTTAAATATATTTCAGTATGTTATGCAATATGAATCACTTCTAGGGAACTGACACCATTTAAAAGCTTAATAATTAGATAAACTGTGGAAGCAGACAGCTATGTCTATATTTTTGTCCGGTTTGGAACATTCAGTACAAGAAAGATCATAGGTAAACTGGAGCATGGATCAGTGGAGGGCCACTAAATTGACAGCTGCTGGAGCACTTGCCCTGGGAGGAGAGGCTGAGGGCATCAGGCTTGTTTGACCTGGAGAAGAGAAAGCTTGGAGGCAGGGGGAGGAGCGTAAGAGCAGCTCCCCAGTGCTTGCAAAAAGGTTATTGGGAAGACAAATCCAGGCTTTTTACAGCAGCGCATGGCAGGACACCATGGATGTGACGTGGAAAAAGGTGTTCTGACTGAGGAGAGCCAAGCAGTGGATCACGTTGCTGAGAGAGGTTGTGCAGTCACCATCCTTAGAGGTTGTAATGACCTGACTGGCTAAAGCTCAGAGCAACTTTCTTAGAACTTATAGTGGACCCTGCTTGGAGCAGGATTTGGACCACAGACCTCCCAAAGTCCCTTCTGACCTGACCTGCTCTGTAATTCTTTGAAAACACACTTAAAAAAGGGCGATAATATTGTACACGAATGACTAGAATAAAATGTAATATGCTATAAAATCAAGGTTGTCTTTTGTAAAAGCGGCAAGACTTGCAATGTGATGTTAAAAAAAAAGTACAGTGAATATATTTTTATTTTTAGAAATAGAAAAACAACTTTTAAAACTTTTAGATAACTAACACTACATTCACTCATTAATTAATGATTGAATTTCAATGGTGAAATAAAAACTATCTCTAAAAATTGTTACATTTTTAGTCACTGGCCACTCAGCATTGTATGTTACTATATCAGTTTCTTACATGAGGGATTTTGGGGGTAAGTGTGGCATAGAAATAAAAGAAAGGATTTTTTTGTATGGTTAGGTTTTAGGAGTTAGTTATTGTCATCACTGCTTTTTGATAAGGACCTGTAGTTTGCAAGGGTACTTAAAGAACTGATCCCCTGCTCCAGACCTCTAAGAGTGATATAACAATTTTCTATTAAATTATGGCATGATAAACTGGAAAGACTGCATTGTCAACATCCCACATAACTACACTGAGACATATTATACCACTTTTCAGATCACAGTTTCACAGTATTAGTCTCAGACCTTTTCCATCATTAGCCTGTCCTCTGCACAAACATTCTCAAAGGTTCTTTGTTTTGTTTCATGGTTTTTTTGGTTTTTGTTTGAAACACCAAAGGTGGGGAATGTAATTAACTTTTGAGGTAGGAAAATGAAAAAGATGATGTCTGTGGTGGTAATGGTATTTCCTATTTGCACATTACTGAAATGATTGTATATGAATCATGGTGTCCTGCTGAGCTTACGGTAGTTGAGCCTTTGATCTTTTTGAACTGCTATGGAATGACAGAACATGAAATACTGCAGCTTCAGCTGCACAGCAGCATTTTACCTCCCTCAGAAATGTACATAGCCTCAAAGGGGAGAAAAAGATGACTTGACATAGTATTGTTGCTAGACTATAGACCAGTTCTACCAATTACTGAATTTGCAATATTTTTAGTTTTAGCTGAAGACAAACTTTCTATCCCTTTGTTTTGTGTTTTCTAGTGCTACATGTTTCACATGTATGTTGGAGTACGTGCAGGTGGAGGCATTGGCGATGAAATAGAGGATCCAGCAGGAGATGAATATGAAATCTATCGGATTATCTTTGACATCACTTTCTTCTTCTTTGTGATTGTCATCCTCCTTGCAATTATTCAAGGTAATGTTTGTAACCCATGGTGAGACTGAAGGTGTTATCTAGCAGTACAAAGATCTTAGTGCTACAGTAATCACACACCTAAGATTTAATGAGGACACCAGGGCAGATCATGAAGCACAGATTTATACAGTAAATCACACCCTGCTGGCTTTTATCCATACACTGTTCTTCCTAGTCTCTGTAAAATCAACAGGCTCTAAAGTTCTTTGCTGTGAGAATAGTGGTGTCACTACAGTTTCTATCTTCTCATTACAGTTCTCTCTCTTCTAAAAGCCTCCTGAAAGTGATGAGCAAGAGAAGTGATTAGAAATCTTGTGGCATACCTTAAAATTGTCTTTCAGCATAACCCACCCTTTGTGAGCTTATGAGGACAAAATCAGTAGTGGGTCCTATCAGTGTTCCCCCTGCCAGCATCTAATGTTCTCGACTGTCTGTCAAATCTTCAGATTGGTGGTAGTGGTGTGAAAATTGGAACATAGCTTTAAGAGGTTTAGTCCTTTCTTACATAAAAATCTCTGTTTGGTGTGATGCCTGCTTATTTGAACAATGTCAAAGAGTAAAGAAAGGTGCTTGATATGAAACAGCTTTAGTATATCCTGGTTAATGACAATGGAAAGTCATCTGCCATCAGGTTAGCTTCTGTATTCGAGTGAAACTATTTGACTGATAGTGTGGCTTGCTGTTGTAATCCGGATAGTGGATACTGAATTTTGGGAAGTCAGGCTTTTTTCTATTATGTTTATATTAATAATGTTTAATGTTATTACCTAAAGTACTTAAAAGCCCCATGTGTTTACATATTGCACCTTCAAAAGGTCAAGAATGCCCAGAAGATCATCTTCTATTAAATTTTGAACAAGTTAACAGAAGTATATTTTTGATTTTGGAAAAAAGTGTAATGATTTTTGCTCGGTCCAGTTGCTGTTGTAAATAATGATACCTTATTGCTTTCTGTCAGCTAACAGTTAGCTAATTTATGATGATTTTGACAGAAGTAAGGATGCTTTATCACTTCGTACAAGGAAGTTTAGAAGGTGACTGAGCTTTTGGTAAATTGTTTATAACTCTTACTCAAGCAACAAGTTTTTTTAAAGGGTTTGGGGAGGGTGCAAATTTTTTTATAGCCTGAAGTAGCATATCTCACACTGTTTGTTTCTTGGTTTTGTGAATGGCTGGAGAATAGAGGCCTTAGATGTCAAGCTTTGAGTATAATTATCATCTGGTATTCATCAGTTTTATAGCACAGTAGTGTCAATAATTATTGTGGAGTTAATCCTTATTTGTATTGGTGTAAGTGAAGGGAGAATCATAAAGCATTTATAATCTGAGCCATAGAGCCTGTGGTGGTTTTTCTTCTTTTTCTATCTCCCTGAAATGACACCTCTACTTCTATAGAGCTCTGACAATGGAACCTTGTCCTACAAGAC